TTGACTATGTCAACAGCGGACCATCCGCAGACTGACGGTCAAACTGAGTGCGTGATTCGTGTCGTTGAAGACGTCTTCGCAGCATCTGCGCTGGGATGCCGAAGCGCTGGAGCGCTATGTTGCCACTCGTAGAGTTTGCTCTGAACAATGCAGCGCATCGTCTCTCGGCTACACGCTGATTATGTAGATAAGCTCGTTCAACCTCGCGTCCGGCTGACGCCGCTACACCATGGCCCAGGGCTTGGTTGGGGGGAATAGCCGAACGGCTGGCTGATGTCAGCGCCCTCACTATCCGTAAAAGATCGATGACTTCCTGTCTACCAGAATGAGTGTCCTGCGGCACGTTCGCGATGCGATGGCTGAAAGCCAAGACATGCAGAAGGAATATGCAGACGGTAGAGGTGAAGTAAATGCTAAATATATCGAGGCCGGAGATCTGGTTCTCTACACATGTAGTCTTCGCTGCCTTGAGACAAAGCTCCGTCCACGGTTTACTGAAAGCCTTGCGTATACGTTAAACTTTTCGAGATGGATGTGCACCCATCCGGTGCCATATTTGGGCTTGCTTAAGCCGTACCAGAATCTGGCGCAAATAAACGCGGAAGGGTTGGCGCCAGGGCGGCGCCCAAAGACCCTCGGCCACTCAGAAACTGAACTAGCAATAGTTTTGAGCACGGAGTGAATAATTTCCGTTTCAAACGGCGCAAGGCACTCCACTGTCGCACGAAGTGACGTATTCGTCTGCTCGACCGCTCCAAAAGAGCGCAAAAACTCAACGTGCAACAGTCGGTGCATAAAGTGCTTCAAGTCTTCCGCACAGCGGTTTGCGAAATCGACAAGATGCTCGGCAGAATGCCGAACGACGGACTTGTCCTCCAGAGCTTGAAAAGCATCGCAAGTCACCGGACGGCGATCTAACAGGTCGTCATCGTCCGCCGCCAACACTTCTCGATGAGAATGGTGGTGTCCACTATCACGTGGAACGCATTGTGGGCCGACGTCGCTGACAGATTCAAACCCAATATCTTGTGAAGTGGCGGGGATACCCAAACTCCTAGAACTCGTGGGAGTTCGAGGTTCCACTTCGGCAAGACTTCCCAGACTTAGTGGACGCTTATGATCAGAGGTACCATGACGCTCCGCGCTTCTCGGCAGTAACCTGGGAAGCCAGAGGGCCATGAGCTGAGCTCAAGCTATGGCCCTGAGCTGCTGTGGTCGTAGACTCATTCGTGTGATAAACCACAGAGCTTGCGAAGGTGTGATGGATTAATTCATACGACGCAGTGCGATAATACGCAGGAAGGCGGCGTTGCGCTTTGAGTTTGGCGAACTCAAATCAAAAATGGCGTTCTACGCGCACCGCCACTTTCTTGTGGCTCCGCTGTAAGTTAGACAGCGTGGAAAGTTTCCAGTTCGCTGTACCGATCGCACAGAGCTCCTTATCATCTGCAGCGGTTTCGCAACGAGCGAGCACCCCAGGAATAGTCCGCATTGCGGATACAGGAGCGCCTCCTCTTTTAGCTTGAAGTCGAGCGCGGTACCTATCCATTGGGATCTCTTGATCTACCAAAATGCGAGCCCTCACGGAAAATGAAAAGAAAGTTATCCTCCTTCGTCGATTATACCTTTAAGGTAAGGTGTAAGTTGCCGTTGGCTTGATGTGGCGGCGAATGCTCTTTCGCGTCATCCCAACCAGGATATACTGAATATCATTGCGATGGTGACGTCACGAATTGATCACGCAACAAGTCCAGTGTACAGGCCAGTCGAAACACGTGTTGCGTCGCTGAACTCTCTGAAACGCAAAGCAGTCGAGACGTCAGGCTCGCTTGATCAATGCGAGCGGTAGCACGCTTGCATCGCATTAGAAGCTTTTCACATTCCCGTACCGACTCAATCTGTGGGAATAGGTCCTGAATACGAAATACTGCATGAGCACATGATAATGGCCATCTCGGAAGTGAAAAGACTTACTACTCGGTGAGCTCTACGTATTGATGGAAAACATGTTTAAGTGGGTAATGATACATATATGCGCACGTTTGTTTTATGTTATCGGGCCAAACGGTTGTCGCGTGCGTTGGTATGTTTTGCAAGCATACCAGGTCCATATGAATGTGGATAGCTTATTTATCAAGCCTGACTTTCAATATTCAAAAGAGGCGTCCGTTCATGCTGGTATTGTGGTCTTTGAGGAATGTCAAGATGACTCATCTCAATGCTACCAGCGATAGTTGACCAATTAAGATACAGCTAAGCTACCACTCGACAAAGCGTTTCGTCAGCTTGACGTGCCGGTGGTCACTGCTTCAAATCGAGATCCTCGCTGATCAGCGACTTATATAGGACACTTTAAATGACTTGTCACCACATAGGGTTTGACCAGCACTAACGGGTCACAGTGTGATAGTCAGATAGAACTGTCTATCGCGTAGTATGTATCTTCCTCGAAGCAATTGCGTTGCGAATCTGCCTCTCTGGAACAAAACTAGTTAATTCCGCGCTTACTATCGCTGTACATGCCACTACAGGCTTTGCCCATTCAATTTTGATGATTTGGCTGATTCCGGTAATTTTTCGATACCACCGTAGATTGGATTCGGTCTTGGTGTGCGCTGTCCTTTCGATCTGACTTGCTGTTTTCAGCTCAGCTAGACTTTATTGCACTTATAACATAAAGAGGGAAACAAAACTATCATTATTAGATATTGTGGGTGAAAATTATTCTGGAACGGACAAGAAGGCATAATTGCGATCACACTGCACCAGATCATTTACGATTGTTGTAAGAAAAAGAATTGGTTGTACGCTTACTATAACCTCTATGTTGGTTCCAGCGAGCCATTCAAAAAGAAGAGAGCTCGTTGGAAGACTAAGCAACTTAGATATTCCTTCTACTCTAGAGAACGATACGGCTCTGACTGCATTGAATACCTCACTCCACTCTGTGCGATGGTTTTACAAGGCGAGCGCATCTGATACGTGGATCATCTCCTTATCTCGACCTGCAGCGGAGCTGCCGTAGCTCTTTCCTTAGAGAAAGCTAAGCTAAGGTCACCGATCTTTCGGTTTTCACCAGAACTAGTACAAGTGTAGCGGATCGCAATCCGCTACCTCCAAGAGTACCCAAAATCTAAAGCAAGGCAAATAAACGCTTCTGTTCAAAATTAGAGCTGTATTTATTTGTTTTATTTGCGGTATAGCTGCCTGTATCGAAAACCTTAAGATTTCCAGATTAAATAGTAAAACCTAATTAATAAACTGGCAGTCCCGCCATGTATTGGCTTCTTGTTACGGTTTAGCCCCACCATTGTGTGATTGCACCGACTTGTTTAATCCACACCTTCGACGGTCACACCATCTTGTGTGACCCACTCTTTAATACAAGGGTACGTGTCACCCCATTACACTCTCCTCCATCAATACCCACAATTCACCTTCAAATGTGGCCCAATACGAGGTTCGCCTGTCGGCGACACCGTCACGTCCTTAAGAACATCTTTGAACATTCACCGCTCAATGATCTATGTGTCTATGACTCGAAAAGCATCCAGCGTAGCTGATTCCGAGGGCGCCCGCGGGCAGAGCCCTATGTCGTATTCTGCACGAGGTGCATCTACGGACAGTACACCCGCGGCTTTACGGGAAGCACATCCCACGCCGGGCGCCACAAACCGCGCCCATCACTGACGACAGATTTTTTCGTCAAAAATTCGGAGGAAGTCGGCCACGAGTATCTGGTAACGCAGCTGTTCAGACCACATAGTGGTTGTGCACAATTCCATTTTGTCGAGATATTTGTCTATTGTCGAACAGAACATAGGCACCCGAATGGGATATTTACATCTAACGCTTGCGAGCAGAGCCTCAACTTATGCCCTTAAAAAGGTTTTGAACAAGCATGTCTTTAGGGCGAGAAAATTACTCTTGTTAAGTGCTACAATATAAGGGATGGTATGCGGCCAAATTCCACAATGTCCCTCTTTATGTCAAGAAGTATCTTGACATAGTTAAGGGAACACCCAGCTTGGATTCAAGTCTTTTTTATCTATACAGATAATACACACAAATTGCTTTCTCATCCCGGAGAGCGTTTTGCTGGTCAAGATCAGCTTGTGTAGTGGCCAGGAGCCCGACTACGTGGACATCTAACGATCGAGTGCTCGCGTCTTTTGCTTCAGTAGCGGGATCCGCCGAGCAAAAGCCGTGATCGACACGAGGAACTAGGATCGAACTTGGATAAGAGCGCATGAGAGCCTCCCTTTGGGCAGCCTCCAACTACTGCTCCCGTGCCTCGTCGGGGCGATTGGTAATAATTCAACTTCCTCCCGGAAGTCGAGAGGAACGGACACGGTGTCCGCATGGTTCGAGCAGGGCTCACGTCGCGCCGTTGGCGTACCTCGCCTTCCTCGTCTAAGAATTATCCGTTTACGAGCATACCAGAGGCGATGGACATCAGCCATGCTAAGGAATAAGAATGAGATTTCGTAGCTGTTGAGCAGCTTTGCAGTACTCGCAGATGTGCTATACATAACATATGTGCCTTGCGTGCCCCCTTCACTCTCGAATGCTTGATGTCTTTTCTGCTGGATGACGAACTCTGTAGCTTTTCAGATTTATTTCATATCACTTTATATCTTTTTTATGCATACAATGAGCATAAAAGGGCTTCATAATTGATGACCATAATCAGCAACATATCAAGTCCGTAGCGAGCTGGCTGTCATCTCAGTCATATCTCTTTTGTTGACGCACAGCTTTAAACTTCGACTAGGTCAAAACATGTGATGTTGATTTTGACGCGACAGTGTCGTCAGAGCTGTTTCACGTCAAAGAATCTATCACGTGTTACCGACCATATTGGTTATCTAGAAAAATTATGGTTTTTTTCTTGATTGTCGTCCACTTCATTCTCCAAGCCTTTAATTTTGATTCGGAGACGGCGTTTTTAAGGATCCATTTGCGTTTTGTCGCCCTCCCTGTTAGATCATAATACCATCATGTCTTCCTGTGGTTACACTGCCATGCGTACGCCTATTGTCAATAAGGGTCTGACATTCACGGAAGAAGAGCGCAAACAACTCGGTCTACGCGGCTTGTTACCGGCCGCTGTGTCTACGATTGAGTTTGAGACAAAGCGTGCCATGGCCGCCATTCGCCGCAAGACATCGCCCATCGAAAAGTATTTATATATGCAAAACATGCAAAATACGAACGAGGACGTGTACTATCGTATGCTCATCGACCACACGACTGAGCTTATGCCCATCGTTTATACGCCAACAGTTGGTCAGGGCTGCCAGGAGTTTAGCCACAATTACTTGCATCAGCCGCGTGGTCTCTTCGTATCGCTCAATGACATTGGTCACGTCAAAGAAATACTTGACAATTGGCCAGAGAAGGATATCCACGCTATCTGCTTCACGGATGGCGAGCGCATACTTGGTCTCGGCGATCAGGGTGCCAACGGAATGGGCATCCCTATTGGTAAGTTGTCACTGTACACAGCGTGTGCTGGTGTACCGCCCCACATGTGTCTGCCCGTTGTGCTCGATTGTGGTACCAACAATGAAGAATACTTGGCTGATCCGTTCTACATTGGTCTACGTCAAAAGCGTGACAGTGGTGACAAGTTCAAACAGCTTGTGGACGAGTTTATGAACGCTGCCAAGACCAAATACGGTGACAACGTTTTGCTGCAATTCGAAGATTTTGGTAATTCCACTGCCTTTGAGCTGTTACGAAAGTATCAAAATACGCATTGCACATTTAACGACGATATTCAGGGCACAGCTTCAGTTGTCCTTGGTGGTTTGCTGGCTGCTGTGCCTTTGTCGGGGAGGTCCATTTCGGAACAAACTTTTTTGTTTCTCGGTGCTGGTGAGGCAGGTACTGGCATAGCTGAGCTTATTGCTCGAGCCATTGCTGAAGAGACTGGAAAGAGTGTGGAGGAGTCTCGCAAGCAAATTTGGCTCGTGGATTCGCGTGGTCTGATAGTCGAGTCTCGCAAAATTGATTTACAGCACCACAAGTTGCCGTTTGCACACAATGCTCCCGCCAGCCCTGATCTCCTGTCCGCTATTTGCCAAATCAGACCAACTGCTTTGATTGGCGTGTGTACTATTCCCAAGACCTTCACAAAGGAAGTGTGTCAGAAAATGAGTGAATTAAATGAACGCCCAATTATCTTTGCTCTCAGCAATCCTACGTCAAAGGCCGAGTGCACGGCTGAGGAGGCTTACACTTTCACAAACGGCAGATGTATCTTTGCCAGTGGAAGCCCGTTTGATCCTGTGGTGTACAATGGCAAGCGCTACGTGCCTGGCCAAGGCAACAATTCGTATATTTTTCCGGGCATTGGTCTTGGCGTTGTTGCATTTGGTTTGACCCACGTGGATGACGAGATTATGATCATTGCTGCCAAAACTTTGGCGGCCATGACCACCCCTTCTGACTTAGAGATGGGATGTGTCTACCCACCGCTGTCGAACATACGCGATGTGTCGCTTCAAATCGCGGTGGCTGTGGCTGAGTACGGCTACGCAAAAGGCTTTGCTTCTATTCCCAAGCCGGAAAATTTACTTCATTTTCTGACCAACTTCATGTACAATCCTTAAGTTCTCGGCGCTCGTGTTGTAGCGAAGGCAGAATATTATCGGGCTGTGAATGGTGTTTGCATTTTCAATAATCCTCCGCACATTCGATCGAAATGTTGAGCTTCACCTTGCGTTCAATACTATCGTTAAAATTTCAAGCTCAAACATAAGCATTTAAGTGTCCATAACATCCCTTGACGAGGAACTAAGTGAAACCAGTGCGAGTCATCAATACATTTACTTCCCTCGCCTCTTAAGGAGGCACATTAAATAAACAAGCCATGACATTCAAAATAGCGGTTTTAACCGTCTTGAGTTCCGCATAATGGTAGGCGGAGTGGCCTCTGAAGCATGTTCCAGCTTTGAATACTCCCCAATAAGATACATAACGTTTTCTTGTGCCTCGTCTAACTTGGCGATGTCCATGTATTCAGTGTAGTGGTGCACATGCGCCCGACGACTATAAAGCTTTTGAAAACGCGTGTTTAGCCGCTGGAATGTCTCTCGGATGCAACAGTTGTTCGACAGGCATAATAACGATGACTTTTGCCCCACAGGCGGCACTCTGCATATTCCTACCTTGAAACCTTCCTGATTCCAATGGATCATACGCAACTCAGACTGTAGGCGCTGAATGTTGGCATTGATATCTGATATTTCTACGCCCCCTCTCATGAAAAGACCGCACGCCAAATATACGCTCGCTCGCGGGTTTGCCCGAATAAGTTGGTGGTCTCTAGGATACAATAAAAATTAGTCGGTACATGAACTACTACTACCATTTTTCTACACTCACTTTTGAAATGCATCAGAAAACATTTGGAAGAGTCGACGAGGCTGTTGTCTTGGATCTGAAGTATCGAATGCGGGGCTCATACTTGCCAGAAGGAAGTGAAGTTTGGGGAATGGCACCAAATTAGTTGTAATATCGTTTAGATCCACGTTTAACGAGCCTGGAAACCGCATCGAGCTTGTTAGATTTGTCAGCAGCCGCGCCACAACGTTGTTCATTTCTTCGAACGCACTTTTCTTCTGCGTGTCTGGACGTATCATCACTTTCTTCTTCCTAACTTGCCTTGTTGACAACGTTGATGATCCCTTCCCCTTTTTATAGAAGTGCTCAAGTTTACTCATGTCAATGCTATCATTTAAACGGGAGCCATTTATCACACGCGTGGAGAGATTGTCGCCTGTCGACAAAGTGTTCATCCTCGCGACGGATGACATTCCTCGGCCAATCTTTGCACACAGGTCTATAAGAGCCTCGTTTTCGATAGGCAATACACAGTCTGCGTGCTGTGTTAACTCGTTTAATGCAAGCATACTATTGTATGGAGATGTGACAACATCGTCATCTTCGGACGGGAAAACGACGGTTGCGAACCGGTAAACGTTCGGGTAAAGGTCCTCAAGCAGTCCCAAAATGTATGTGCCTAAGCCCGAGCCAGTACCTCCACCCATGGAGTGCATAACAAAAAATGACTGAAGCGAATCGCAGAGCTCCACAGCGCAACGCAGCTTGTCCTCTAGCTGTTCTTTGTACTTTGGACCATAAAGACAATGCCCGTGTGCCCAGTTGTTGCCTGATCCGGACACATCCGTGACAAGCTGCTGTTGGTCAAAGAGCTCACCCAAAGGTCCGATCATAGTCTCTGCTACGGGTCCTTGTTCCATGTCCACGAGAATCGCACGGGCTTTTAGTGACTTGATGAGAGATTGGCCGTCGTTGAAAGGCATATCCACGGGTGGCGAGAAGCGGCTATCCACGTTGCGGAAAAAACTGCTCATACTCTCATCAAACACACTCCCTTTGCAGTTTTGCGCGTGTTCTTCTAACGCTAGTTGCCAGAATTGACGGCCGATCTGGTTGCCACATTGACCTACTTGAAGGGTGATTAGCTCACGCGGCATAAATTTTCAGAATGAAATATTCGGATTTGTGCTGTATAGACAAAAGTAATTCGCCAAGAAAATATGTTCATGTTGCTCATCCAGAATGTGACCTATTGACGAATATAGTTCTCAGCATCTGTTATCGATATTCACACGAATCATTTTAACAACGCATACGTTCATTCACACACATTATAGAAATATAGCTTAATGTGCTCGAATCCTGCAGCATTGAACGCACCACTGATTGAGCTCCAGCATATACTCTCAGTAAATCCCTGCCCCCAACACCTCATCTAAGGTTCATCCCTCTGAAGCTGTGCAACCGTCAACGGTCGCTCCTAAGGAACCACCTCAGTTTGCGCGATCTCAGAAAGACGCAGCAACGCCTGCCGTAGCTGCATATCCATTCTGCGCAAGCTTTTTCTGCCCCAAGCAGACCACCACTTCCGAATTTGCCTTCTCCCATGCAAGCGTGCAAAAAAGGTCACCTTCAGTTTGTCCGTCGTCCTCCGCCTCTGTCTCTACATCATCCACCTTGAATTCGTTCGTCGCGCCTACTACCTAGGGCTCTTTGAGACCACTCCTCACGACAGCTTTGACGTCGCGATTACTACTTGTGCCTCGCACCCCGTGCCGCCGTCCCGCCTACTCGACCGTAATTTACCACGCCTTGTTCATTTCGTGTGCAAAACGCATTTGACTGAGAGGACGTAAGAATCACCTCTCGAGGGGTTTACGAGTGTGAGTTCGTAGCTAGGGACTGCAGTTGCAATACGCCGTGTATTGAGGTACACTTTGCGTTGCGTTGCGTAAATTACGGTTAGGATATTCGTAACTTTGTGTGTATCAGCGCTCAAATCTCACGTTAGCACTATAAGTGCAGTTAGTCAGCCTTCCACGTAGTCTCAACCAAGCTAGGCGTTTGTTTAGGTGCAACCCAATAATGTGTTGCTTTCTCCTCACTGGTCGCGTTGATCCTGCGCTTGCTTTTTGGCAAGTTGTGGGTAGTAGTTACTACCACCACAGTCGATCTGCCCAGCTGCACCAACCCTTGACTTTGACAGCAGGGTCAAGCCGTTCTCTTAACAGTGGCAATTGCATACACCAAGTCGCCGCCGCGACCACCGTCACGCCCATCGCCAAGCTCGGCAACGCCACCACGTCCAGCACAGCTAGATGTACGGCAACGTCAGTTGCGGCCGACGGGACATCAACACCCAACCTGCTCCACGCTGGGTGCCTGACAATTCTCAATTTGAGACAGGCCCTAAACGATTTTGGACGACTGTTCACCTCCGCTACGTCCAAGCGTACGCGCGTCGGGGCAACTCGTTCGTCTACAAGTCAGATGATGCCTTGACGTGGCTGGGCAACTTACAGCTTACATAAGTGTGACAAATTCGTAAGTATTTTAAGTACGACAAACTGTACTTTGTGAGTTAAAAAGCGTTTTCGGCCAAACGATGAGCGACTGGCTCGTGCAAAGAGGAGCCAGAATTGTTCTGATTACTCCTACGCACATACATGGCCAAGTGAAGTCCAGCGGACGCACTGTATATCTCAGTGTCCGGTCGGGCTCTTTGAATCGATCGGAGAGCCTCATCAGGAGATACATTTTGACTAGTAATGTCGTCGTACTTTATGCAGCACAGGCTACGCAAGCTTGGTTGGATAAAGCCGCCATCCTTACGGCCTCACCCTCGACGATCGTCCGACACTTCTGATGCTAGCATGAATGGAAGTGACGACGCCGCGGAACACCAAGTTGCAACCCAAGTCCCCAACGAGCCACAAAAAGGACACGAGCTGCAATTGACCTAGAAGTGTCATCTGCTCATGCCATGCTCACCGGTCGTGTCTCTGCTCGTACTGGAGCTAAAGCTAATCGCATGATCGCTGACGCTGTACCGGAAGGCGCACCGGAGTGAAAAGTTGTTCAGCACTCTCGAAATGGAGTCATTAATTGCGACGGCGGCAAGTAAATCGATCAAACAGGCCTAGTTTCGTGCGAGTTGGAGTGCATGGTTAAAGACCCTTAATCCCTGGTGTGCTCCTTTCCAGTATCGCCTTAAAAAATGTTATGACATTCTTCGGAATGAGGGATTGGATAAGATCCTCCCACCTGATGTTGATCTGGAAGCCGGCGAGCAAGACGGAGAAGTCGGTGGAATGGTCACCCTAGTAGCTGGCTTTACTGCTTCGTCTGGCCTTTTATCACTTGAGGAGAAAGCTCGTAGACTGAAAGTGTCCGTACCCTCGCTCATAAAGTGGGACAGCTTTCAGTAGAAGAATTTCAAAATGTCACCGACGAGTTTACCAAGCGAAATGCTCTCAGAAGGACATCTCGCGAGGACATATTGACAGCAATACAAGCGCAATGTGCTTATTCTCGACGCATTATTTCAGCTTCCACCCAGTCATCGAGACCAACTTTTCGAGCGCACGCGGTATATCGAGCAATCAGGGCGGAGCCAGTCGCTACCAGTGGATTTTTAAACTCCCAAGATCGCTTGTGAGAACGCTATGGCATAGACTCAATTGATGCTGCCACCTTATTCGGGGCTATGTTTTCAAATAGTGAATTTCAAGCCGCTGCAGTACACAGTGCCATTAGTGACTCGGTCCTGATAATATTTGCGCCAAGCATGTATATGAATCAAATGAAATTTTAAGCTATCCTTGGACCATTACTGACCCCAATCGTCTTCGTCACTCCCCGTTTCTGCTCTGGAGTGACATCAGTCTTCTCTGTTTGGCTCGAACTGATGTGGCGAAGATCTTCATAAACGACAACGGTACGTGGTTGCGGTACATAACGATTTAGCAATTATTTCTTTGCCTGAATCGATGGCTAAAATGTCATCAAGATTGGTGAATCCTCATCTTTAAAAAAACCTCGAGTAATTAATGAAGTCTCGCTAAACGTGAATGGGTTAAATACAGCCAAACTCGGTACGTATCAGCGACTTCTCTCGGAACATCTACTGGTCTCGTTCCAAGAGACAATGTTCAACAAAGAAGACTCACTTTAGACCAGCAAAGCTAAATTCATGTTACTGACTCTGGAGCGCGCTGCTACTGGTCCGACACCATGTTTTTTGTCTTTAACGGGAGACATGGCGTACGCCTAATAATGTCATCAGCCTCACCGTTGGTGAAGCTAAAGAACTCACTTGTCAAGTCTACGAAGACCAATTACGCAGTCGTTATTTATTACCCAAGTCTACGCTTGGCACTAAGATGGTGATATATATACATATTGTTTACGCATCTGATAAACCCCCAAGACGTGGCAAATGTTTTCGTGCACTTCCCACTCACTTCATCCTCAATGACTTGGATGAAGACGGCCAAGCGGCAAACATAGTCGTTGGTGACTCAACGTCACAATGGACACTTTTCTGAATCAAGCTTCATCTTTCCAGTTGCGCCCAGGCACTGGTAGAGAAAAACTGGGTGACTGGTCTGACGCGTTGAGCTGAATCGACGCAAGGCGCTTTGTACATCAGGATACAATGAGCTACACAGGTCCAAAACGCAAGAACGACTTGGTTACTGTTTTCTAACACTTGATTTAGTACAGCATCAGCTCGCTACGATCAATCATATAAGGGATCGAAAGTGGCATAACGAGACCGCATACCGGTGAGGTTTTGGCTACAAGCAAAGTTTACTCCAACAATGAGAAGGGCCCCGTGGTGATGCCCTACATTGCTTCTACGAGAGCCGGATGTCATCACATATATTACTTCTTCGGCAGAGCAGGTGGCAGCACGTTTTCGGAAATTTGGCGGCACTAACCCAGGCTTTCTTCTGGATGAACACAAACGTTCCGATTACATTTATCTTCGTAGTCAATGGGCTGAACTTCGACAAGCTGATGCGCGTGGAATGGCTACAAGAGTCGCCGCAGTGAACTATGCCATCGATCTCTTCAATCTGGCTTCGATCGACTGCAACAAGTCAGCATTACAATAAGCACAAGCTGATCTTAGTGCATACAAGAAGACGATTAAAGATAGGAACGCAATGAGCAAATTTGCACCGACTGACATATTATGCAGCGAGCAACAAAGCACTTTTTCGGCCACCAAAACAGGACTGCCTCACGTCCTTCATCGCAACTTTAACGTGGCGATGGGTCGAGAAGTGATGACCGTGTTGAATTATAGGCGGGCCACCGCAGGTTTTGGGGGCAACTTCTCTAGTCAACATCACCAGATCTTCATTATCTGCGGGATGCTACATATCAGCATCTTTGCTTAGCGCGAATGCTACGTCAAAAAGTGGCTAAGCTCATGTCAGCACAACAGCATCTGCTCGATGCACCTATCACGGCAATCAACTTTTACTTGGCGATCATAAAATTCACCAATGGAAAAGCGCTAGGTCTCGACGGATTACCAATAGAGTACTTCAAGATCTGTGGGCACGCATATACGAGGTTAAACACGACAATCAGTCATCACAGGAAAGATAACTAAGTTCCGACAATGGGTGCTCCTTTTGCTGCTAAACAAGACTGAAGATAAATCGCAGCCTAAGAAATACACTGCTACACGAAGATGTAGAGCTTGGTCTCAAGATTTTTGCGCGGAGGTTGGGACTTGTGGTTCCTTCGCTGAGACATGAAGATCGAAGTGGGTTTGTACATAGCAAATCTAAACGTCACTCTCTCGTTCGCTTCCGAGACTTACAAGAACTACACAAGCAGAATTATCCCGACGATTGCGCAGTTTTTATCGATTTTGCCTAGGCTTTCAATAGTGTACTATGATCAGCGTTGGACATGGTACTGCATCACTTCGGATTTGGTACGACCTTTCGAGCCTTGATCAAAACACAATAATAAGACTTCTGTTAGTTTGCTGTTGGAAAACTCACCAGAAGTCCCGTTTGTACTTGGGGCCGGGGACAACAAGGCGACCCACTATCTCCGGGACTGTTCGTGTTGTTTATCAAACCACTCATGAATTACTTACGTGCTCGAGTTTCGGTGCGAGGATTGGACATTAATAGTGGATCATCTTCACATTTGCGGCTTGCTTTTGCGGATGACTGCACCGGTCTACTAGCTGATGTTGATTACGCAACTGAATCCCTGAATGTGATACAGGATTACGCGTTACCATCACCGGTCTACTAGCTGATGTTGATTACGCAATTGAATCCCTAAATGTGATACAAGATTACGCGTTACCATCAGGACTACGACTAAACATGAACAGAACGTGCATGATGCCGTTACCGCAACAAGTCAACTTGCCCAAATTTGCCAGACTACGTGCTTAAACCGATCTCAATGTGTTACAACCGTCAGACATTGTTACACTAAAATGAGTACTTCATGGCGCGACTGCGACACCTAAGCAACGATTTAGAGATGTGGATGGTAAATTACGAACACGATGCGCCATCTGGAAGTACCGTGTACGTACATTGCGTGGCAAAGTGGTGCTATTGCAAAGCATCATATTACCACTACTTTGATACACAGCCAGTGTAATGTTAATTGCACTAAACTTTCATAGAATTGTGGAGGTCATCATCCGCAACTTTATTCTCTCAAAGGATACGGATAGTGACCCGCGGTTGCTGGAAAATTTGCAAAAGAATTACTTTACACATTTGTCTCGAAGAGTAGATTAGAATTGACAATTATCAAAGCCTTTATCCTAGCTATGCACCTCTAGACATTAAGGAATGAGATTAATTTGATATGTGATTTGAATGATGTATCGGTGTTGTATTTTAGCAGTTCAAATCTTTTCAAAACATTGGGCTCCATTGGTACAGGCTTCGATATTTTATAGGGGGCAATGGAATGAAGTGCCTGACTATTGGAATACTACTTTACGTATTTTGGGTGGGACTGCGCACTACTCACGGCTCCACAGACTGGAAACGGTTTGTGTAAGTCATGCCGTTTATAATAGAATGTCTACTTTACGTGTTGCAAGGCTAAAATCCCTTTAACCGAAGTACTATTGGCTTTCTGGAGACATTAGGACTCACCCTCCTACAAGACTTTGTGAAGCGCTTTGGATGCTTCGTGACACAAGATATACTAAAACTCTGCTTCATGTGGATCAATTCGCCCGACCTGCGTCGTAAACACGATTAGTTTCTGCCACAATTTCGCGACCTAGATTGATCTGTTCCCCAATTGGGCCTATATATAGACCAACTCGTCCCATTCACACTGAATGTGCAAATCACTGTTGGAGTCTTGAAGACAAAATGGTCATAGACCTGTCCAACCATGACTTTGTAAAAGTATTATTAAAGACTAAGTTGGATACACCGCTTTTAAAGCTCCAACTTAACAAGCTTCAGATTACAGGCTTAATTCCAACGGAAGATGTATGACGCTTTGAATGCCATTTGTAACATCATGTACTCCCAGTATGCTCCGATCTTAAGTTTCGTCTTCAACACAACGCACTAGGATTTCGATAAGTTTCGATGGAGAACTGAAGTCATATATAGCAATACAAGCATAAATGGATGCACAAATGTTGAAGATGCCCAAGGGCTTGCAGAGTGGCATTACATCAATAGGAAGTCTTTATTTGACCTCTCAACAAGCTTATTAACGGAACTTCGACTGGTCTATGATCGTCTTCTCAACATACGACTATTGGACAATATGGGACATACATTTCATGCAATCTCTATTATTGTGCGCTGTTGTGTACTTCGCGCATTATGGCGTCTTCGAAACAAACGGATTTAGAACATGGGTGTTTCGACTTCTCAATACTTTGATCGTAATGATGCCTTTGCATACATCAAGCTGCACTATCGGCAGGTTCAATTACGTGCCACTTTAAAAGGCATGCTTACATGGGTACAATTGACAGATGAAGTGAAACGTAGTCTTCACGCGCAACATAATGCATTCGTGACATCGACTACAACCGCTTCAGCCGTTCAGCAATTCATTATGGCAACAATGGACAACTTCATGACGGCACAAGTAACTACAACTAACTTTACAACATCTACAATACAAGCGATACCGTCAACAACGATGCCAACGTCATTTTAACAGCTACAGGAAGTGGATTCGTCCCATCGATATCTCGGACGGACATCCAGTACAACTGCTAGAAAGGTCAGGCCGGGCCTGACGGGGTCATAGGAAACAAGGACGAGCAAGCTCGGATCCAAGTTGGATAAGGGACTTTTGAGACGCGACCCCCCCCGTATTCACTGACCGCGCTATTGACCGGCTTCCAATAGAGGTTCACCGCATTGTACAATAAATTCAGACTTACGCCGGCGCTCTCCACTGCTAGCTACAGCTTTGAGCAACCCACCCTAATAGGCCGCACCGGTCGAAATCTTCATGTTAATTAAGGCAATACACGCAGCACATGTCTGCAGTCAAGAAATTTTGTACAACTTGGCAGCCCACGCATCAAACACAAGAAGCAACTATGGGTGAGATGTTTAGTCTTTTTCTGATCATGACATGACAAGTTTGCGAGCATCTCGATGGTAAGGTTCAAAAGTTTTGCTCCAAACGTTCTCGGGCGTCCTTCACCAAAGCTTTTCATTTTACCCTTTCTACGTCTCGACACGATAATGACGGCAATGAACTTAACCTTTAACACCAAGCACACAGCCAATTTGGACTTCTATGCCCCGCTGTACTGAGTCTCTACAAGTCGATAGCTAAGCAAGATGATCAAGATTGAAGCACAAGGTCTATATGCGATCCACACAAGTACAAACGGCTTAGGTTATTTTAAGATATCAAGTCTACGGCTATCCAAATTGTGGTCCAACTATTCAAGATAGCACATCAATCCAAGAACGACTTAACAAGCCACTCAGCGGACAACACACCATTTCACAAGTCAGCACACACCAAGATTAATGCACCAACTGCGCTTCTTGGTCGCACTTCTACCTCTAGACACAGCGAATGCAAGGCACAGCTCAAGGGCCACGCTTCAAAATCATATTCGAAATACTACTGCCATTCAACACTATCGACACAAATAATCTCAGCGTCAAATTTTCGATCGCAAACTGGTATCGGTCAACTCAGTATCAAGCTCAAGTACTGCTCCTGTGGCAAATCGGCTTCCGGCTTGCCCAATGTACTTTCACTCTTTAACTAACAAGACTACCATCGCTATGATCGCAGACTCACCCTGTGTGTGATACCAATGAGCTCACGGGATTAAATAATCCAAACGTCGCGGGGCGACAAAACGAATAAAATCGGCGACGCGCCCTGAGTTTGGCAATCTCGAATCGAAGATGGCATTCGACGCGCACATCCACCTCCTTGTGGCTCCGCTGTAAGCTGGAGAGCGAGCAAAATTTCCAGTGCCGCTGCATCCATCGCTCAAAGAGCTCTTCATCATCTGCAGCGGTTTCGCCAGGGGCGAGAACTACAGGAACTGTCCGCATCGCGGGTACAGGAGTGCCCTCTCTGTGAGCGCGCTACCTACCCATTGGGATATCTTGAGGTACCAAGAAGTGAACTCGGACAGCTTTTCGTTCGTCAAACCCAGCTTGTGTAGTGGCAGGGAACCCATCCACGTAGACACCCAACGATCGGTTGATCTCGACCTTTGCTTCGTAGCGGTATTCGCCGAGCGGAAGTCGTATTCCACACGAGGGTATAGGATCGACCGTGGATGCGAGTGCATGAGAGCCACCCTGTGGGCAGCCTCCAGCTGCTGCTTCTGTACCCCGTCGAGGCGATTGGTGATGATACCACTTCCCCAGGGAAACGTACACGGTGTCTGCAAGGCTCGAGCAGGGCTTACTTTGCGCCGCTGGCGCACCTCACCCTCTATTCCTTCCCAAAATGGGATAGGAGTATCCGACTCGTAGATGACCTTCTCGAAATCCTTGACGAGATGATTCGTCGCCCGTGGCAGACGCGGTGCTCGTGCCGAGAGCTTGGGATGCGCTTCCCTTGAAGCCGCGGACGTGCTGTCCGAAGTTGCACCGCGCGCAGGAGACAAAGAAGGGCTCTGCCCGTGGCCAGCCTCGCTGGGTGTCTTTCGTGTTCTAGACACAGCATTCATTGAGCAGAGAATGCGCGTAGAAGCTTTTGTGGACACAAAGGTGTCCTAGACACGCGAGTCTCGTGCGAGGCGACAGTTTAATGTGTGTTCACAATTTTGTTGGGGGGAGAGTGTAACGGCTTACACGTACCCTGATATAAAGGGGTGGGTCACACAAGATGGTGTGACCACACGATGGCGTGGCTACACCTTAACAAGACGTGGCTGGACTGCCAGTACTTATGCATTTTAATTAGGTTTTAGTATTTAATCAGGAAAAGCTATAGATTTAGATACAGGCGGCTCTGCCGCAAATAAATAAAAAAATACAGTTTACATTTTGAACGGAAGTTTATTTGCCTTGGGTTAAGGTTGTGGTTGCTAGCGGATTGCAATCTGCTAAACTCGTACTGATTATAGTATAGAGCGTAAGGTCATCGACCTTAGCTTAGCTTCCTCTAAGCAAAAGAGCTACGGCAGCCCCGCTG